GTTATACAATTATGTAACGCTGCTTGTAGAGCTCATCTGCTGGCACCAAGCTGTGTAGCGAGCAACCCACTGCTCTTTCTTGTAGATTATCTGACCATTTTTACAGCCAATTGACAAAGCTTTGTAGCATTTGGAAGCAGTGGTTAACTTAATTCCAGAGACAACTTTTATCATCAAATTTCAAGACTCTCCTCAAAAGTTTAGACGAACATCATCGGGGTCCTATCTTGGGCACGATCACTGGAGACCTGTTGCCTCCGTAACCCACCCACCCCAAATTATACTGAGTGAACTTACTTCAGAGATAGCTTATGTCTCGGATAGGGTCTGGATTCAAATTTACAAAAAAGCTCGCAATCAAATGCATCGCATGTCCAGTTGAAGATACAAAGAGAGCGAAAACCACTGGAATGTTATTTATTACGGTCATTAATCCGAATTTCATCGGCAAAACAAACTAATTGGGGAAATACACAATGGACGGGAGAGGGAAGAATGAAGAAGTACAAGTGATGGAGACGTCCAAAACGCAAGGGTTAAACAAAATATCACAGTCACTGGATGGTGAGCAAGGTGGAAGGAGATAGACACAGTGCGGGAGGGCTCAAACAGGACCAACATGAGATTCAGTTTACTCGAACTTTGAAATGTGCCTCGTTTATGGCATACTGAGACATTGGAGGGCACCAGGCAGGACACTGTGAATTGGACCAAACGCGACGTATCAGTGGATAGAACATGCTGAGCAGCAAACCGATAACAGCCCCACCCAGGGTGCCCATCAAGCAAGGATAGGGCCACGCTTGCCATGGACGATCCCAGTCCAAAATCAACAGGCTGGCTGAAGACCAGGCGCCAAGGATGGACCCATAGCCAACAAATGCAAGAAGCCGTTCTCGCGGTACACTGGACATCAGGGAGTATGAAAGTTATTGAACAGGTAGTTAGAACGAATTCCGAGGGCATGCTATTGACTAAAAAAGTTCATGTTAGAAGGTGAGATCTCTTTGAGGCCAAAATAGTTCGTTGTAAATGTTCACTTCGTATTACCCAAGGCATCTCAGTCATTTTATAATTATCTAATTGGAAATGGAAACAGGCTGAAAAATGTTCACGCGAACCCCAATTAGATTATACTAAAACGCGACACTTTTAAGGACACCTTAGTTTAACGAACAGTAAAAGAGACAAATCGTATGGTCAAGAGAACCAACCGGTTGTTTGGCTAAACCGGAAATCGAAGTGTTTAGAGGTGACAACAGCGAGATGTGTTTGGTAGTAGAGAAGCCCCGTGAAAATTGTACAATAATAAGAGCACAACATAATGACCACAAACCAATCGAAAGGCTGTATGTGGACCAAAAGAGGTATGGCATTATAGAACTATCAACAGCGTGGTACCCGATTTAGTACTGCATAGAATGCTTCATCAAGAACAACATAGTACAGTGATCGCCGATTCCGACCTGTTGTGATAAGCACGCAATACTTAAATTCTCTATTCAAGTGGGAATTTCTATACCAGCTAAAATCTGCCTATTCTTTAATAAACCAAAGCAAGTGATACCTTGAATATGATTGCAAAACACCACAAGATACCCAGTAATGGTTCTAAAGAAGAAAATATTCTAAAACCTATCTAATTGATCAACTAATCGAACCTCTCAGCAAAAAACTGGGTGAGGGAAACATCGAAGCTACGCAGGCAAACTGCGGTCATGTCATAATAATGTATATGTCAGTTCAATTCAGTGTACACAACCATAAACTTTCGCTCGTCGGTCAAAGATGATGCCTTTTGGATATCAATTTGAATGATATCCAAAAAAAAAATTAAAAATCCGATATCAGTATATCACTCCTACTGGCCAACAGCCGTGGACACAGACCACGCCTTGTTACGAGCCAAATTCTCCTCATGCCTGGCAAACAACCGTAGAAAAGCCACCGACAACGGACACCCACGATACAAAGTCAGCGATCGCTGCCAATCGGCCTTCGAAGCAGAGCTCTCCAATCGCCCAAAAAGTTAAGTTGAATATTACGATCGCTTTATGCTAATAGCCGAAGTCGAGTCCGGGCTAACGGCACTTTTTCACCCGAGTTCACCACAGAAAAAGATGTTCGTCAGGGTTGCCCTCTGTCCCCTTTTCTATTCAACTTTGTTATAGATTTGATCACGGGAAACAGCTCTGTCCTCGTGCAAGAATAGCGGCATCAATTTACTTCCAGGTGGCAGACTGTGTGATCTAGAGCATGCAGACTACATCGTAATACTAAGTGAAAATCCAGGTGAGTTGCAAGCATTTTTGGACAGCTTGAATGCCAGTGTAGCCATTTTCGGAATGCGTTTTTCATGTTCAAAGTGCAAAATGTTACTACAAGACTCGGTTGGTCCAGCACCCAGCCTCACTCTAACTGGGGAAGTAATAGAGCAGGTGGATAAGTT